CGCGCACGCGAGAGTTCGCGTGTGACGTCGCGAGGCTGACTTTTAAAAAGAAACTGATCGGGGGAGGCCTAAAGAAACTGATTCTTTCCCATACCGACAGAAATAGCGCCTGATCACCTACAATTCCTTTCTGAATGTTTTCATGTTCTAAAAAAAAAAAAAAAAAAAAAAAAAAAATATGTACAGTACGATATACGCGCCATATATATTATGACTCTTATATATGTATTATATATATTTATCCAATGTATTCTAGTAGAGTTATCCAAACATCGCTGTATTATACGTTCAGAGAATCCGTGTTGCGATGATACTTGTTAAGCAACTACACGAGAGTCAGAAGCACACGAAGCTGAGCCATTATCAACGTTCGGGATATTACAAAGTGCTATGCGGAACACATTTTCAAAGTTGATATTATCACGGTCGTTGGTGACACGCCGAATCGGCATGTTTCATTTTCGCGATGAGAGAATTCAACGGTGAGAATTGCAACGCGAAAGTTGCTGGAACACCGGGGTCGCGATCACGAATCGCGTTTATTTAAAAATATCGCGCTGACGACGACTGTTGCATCATTGTCTCATTTTATTGCGAATGGTGCTTCGGATGACAAATTTATTTCAGTGTAATTTAAAATACGAGCAAAAATACGGAATATCCAAGGTACATATACATATATCAGTATCGTGTGAAACGCACGTGTCTTTGGAATAATTAATTGAGGAAAAAACATCAATTGTGTTGTAAAATTGTCGACAGAAAACAACAGACGTTTGAGTCGTAACGACGAGAATATTTTAATAATGAAATTAGTAAACAAACCTGATCTGTCTGGCAACAGAACGTTGTTAAATCTTTGAAAGATACAGCATTTTGAGCATTAGAAGAGTTAAAGTAAAAAAAAAAAAAACAAAAAACAAAAAAAAACAAATATATCGATATAACACCTACTGCAGGTTGTAAGAAATACTTAAAAAAAAAAAAACTTTTTATATGTAAAATTATATAGTTCGGAAAAACAGAAACACGTACACGTATTGTATTTCGAGTATATCGCCGATAGTTTGTCGCATGACATAACAATTATTCTCTCTCGCACATCCACATACAGCGTATAATCTATAAGAATATTCGGAGCGGAACATATATTGTACGTAAACAAGAGTATCGAAAAAGTAGGAACGTTTTTTGATATGTATAAAACGTGGAACACAGGACCACAAGATTCAACACCTTTTGCATACGATTCGTAATAGAAAGAGAAAGAAAGAGAGAGAGAGAGAGAGAGAGAGAGAAAGAATGTGAAAGATAAATGTATTAGTTTTAACGACTGTGAATTATATGTTATACGGGGAATCGTCTTCGTTGCTTATTATGTTTCGGCTATTTCCGAAGAACATTTCGATTTTCACGATATTTTGTCGAAATGTCTCGAATGTTTCCAAATAATAATAATAAAAAAAAAATCATGTTACAAATTTGTTGAATGGGATCTATAGTTAGAAGTTTTTATTGTTCTCTCGCGAAAAGCGAGTTCGCGTTTTCGTCACATTCATTCTGTGTCCAGGCTATTGGCTTCGTCATAGGGATATATATTTGTAGACTTTATAATTTTACAAATAATTTTCGACTATACGTTGCGTTTTCTAAAATATTTAAATTCTCGCGGAGCATTCGGGACATTTCCACGAAATCAACAGAAAATCGAGAGGACAGATTGTTTTCGAAACTACATCCATCGTTTCTTATTGTTGTTACGTTTATTTTTGTACGCAAAGTTATTTCAAGTACGTAGTTATTAAGCATGAAAATGATGAATGATAAAACGAAGATATATATATATATATATATATATATATATATATATATATATATATATCAGAAGAAATCATATGGGATACAAAAAGAATCTGTACGAAGAGAAAATCAGGGCAAATAAAGAAGACTAGTTTTAGAGACAGCAGCGATCTCATTGCAATTTCCTTTATTGTCACTTCTCGAAGAGATGATAAACGGCGGATTTAGCGTTTTTTTTTAGTGAGTTTTGGAATCTTATCACGCAGAGCCTAAATCATTTTATATATTTTTTATCTGCTAGAAATTGCTTTTTTTTTTTTTTTTTTTTTGAAGGAAACCTGCAACATCAAGAAATATGAACGTATTAAGGGAGGCGCCAGTAGCGCCATTTATTTTATATCTTTTATAAACATTTAACACGTTTTGAAGTATATTATTTGCAGCATACCCTTCACAAATGTTCCAATCTTGCGCCACTTTTCCACCTCGTGTGAATGAGAAAGACTTTTTACCACTTCTTCTGGATCTGACTTCACTTAACATGACGCACTGACTGATTTTTGTGACTTTTGTGAGTATTTGTCTTCTCCTTTTTTGAAAACAGCACAGAAGGCAAATAACATTTGCTGATCGTTTTCAGAAGTCTCTCAATACACGGTAAGAAAGACAATTCTTCAAGCGAAATTAAATGCTCGCGGCAATAAAACAGGCGCAATTGTGACAAAAAAAAAACCAAAACGGGAAAAAGGAGAAGAAGAAATGGAATAAAAATAAAACGTAAACTATGACATGCATACATAACACAACTATATATTTCTATATTACAATATAAAATTTGTTTAGAAAACCTAAATTCGGAAACATTCTTGTTGCAATGCATTTGTCAGATTCAGAACTCTATTAACATTCATCTAAAGGTTTACTGAATTATATGTGTGTTATATCCCGTTAAATTATAATAAATTAAACACAGCAAACTGCAAAAAAAAAGGTATTTCAAATAAAATTATTCATTCACAGTATATAAATATTATCGTTTTATAAAAGCGTAAAAATGAGGACTATATGATAAATGTAGTATCTATTACTGTGTATACAGTGTATGTTATCGCGCAAGATAGTTCGAAAATTCGCAAGCTCGTACGACATTCACCAAACTCAAGTAAACCATGTCAACGTAAGTTCGCAGATTGTTTCATTTAATAATGTAGATTGTAAGTTAAGAGAAACAGAGAGAGAGTGCGCAATTTTCTTTACTTTAGAACACTAACTTTAGCATTCACGTCGGTACAGTCTTTTTCATTTTTTTTTTTTGTTTTTTTTTAATTTGTTTATTCTTATACGGCATCGTAAATGCCTTATTAGCATATAAAGTTAGCGAAATGTGCTGTATAATATTCGAATTTAGCCTCAATGATCTCGAGCTAGTAGCTCATGTGCCTGTGTAAGAGTAATAACAAAATGGAAAGAAAACAAAAACTACACAAACTGAGCGCTGAAGCCAGTGACCGCGTCGTTCAGCAAACCGAGCTTTATCGCTTGTCACCGGCATGTTTTTTTTACATTTACAATAGATCTAGAGGAATAGGCCAATCACAGGCACAAAGCGCTGGAGTCTGCTGAACGCCAGGTCAATGTTTCAAAGCGCAAAACTATGCGACACAACTCTGAGATATTATCTATAAACGCGTATATTTATTATTAATATTATTGAACAAAGAGAAAATCGCGGATTATTTGTAAAAAAAAAAAAATTGAACGATCCTTGCAAATGGTATATATGCGCACAATTAGTTCAAATATTAAAATACCGACAGTGTAATAAACTTGTTGCTCACTTAACTATATATGTATATGTTGACTAGGTCTCTTTCGGTCGAGTGAGTGATACAAGCTTGCGAAGTGCCGTAAACCATCTTCCAACAACATCCTGTATAGCATACGCGCGACGCGCAAACAGTGTTAAAATTTTTGTTCGAAAAAAGTAATATGAACGTGAGGCTTTTTCTCGCAAAAAAGCTTTTATTTACATTTGTTTCGTTTTCTTTTTTTTAGCGTCTATATATATATATACGTATACATATATATATATATATATATATATACATATATATATATATATATAAATTTATAATTGCAATAAAATCCCACACACAAATCGATCGCGCACTCATACTGATCACTTGCTGTGGAATGTTTTACATAATAAATACAAATTTCTGAGATAAATTAAAATACTAGTCTTGCATTTACAAGTGGGAGATGTGTAAACTCCAAAATGACAATCATCTCATCGCAATTCTATCTATATTGATTCACTCACCGACGAGCCCGTATATATTTTTATTTACACAATATCTATATAATATAAACATATATATATGTATATATATATGTATATATATATTGCGATCGCTGATTAAACCTATCGATATATGAAGTGAAAGGTAAAAAGTACTATTTTGTACCTTAAAGTCTGGGAAAAGTAAAATAAAATGCTGGCCTGTGTGTGTTTGTGACGTTAAATCGCACTCTCTTACGTCATCTATTCTACATCGGTAATAGTATTTTGCCTTTTTTTTTTTACGTCCTTTTTCTTATTTGCATTCGATTTATTTTTAAATGCAAAAACGCGAATCGCCTAACTTAATCGCTAAACTTAACGTAACCCGCAATTTTTCTCTTAATCTAATCTTAGCCGCTAACTAAATCGTACGAGTGGACTGAGTGATAAATTATCATCGACTGTACAAATCGCTGCTTCCAACTTGACACAATCACATCTTAATCTCGGAATACCTGAATAAAAATCGCTATCGTACTTCCGAGTTACGTTTGGACCTCGCATGCACCTTTTATTATTCTTTTTTTTCTTTTTTTTTTGTAAAAAATATACTTCCTGCGCTTATCGTAAAAGTTGGATGATTTAATATCGAATTTACGCGAGACGTTTCAAA